TATATATATGTGTGTATTATTGGGACTTTTTATAAAGTAATTGCTGTTTTCATTATATACTCAGTTGAAGTTTAGTACAGTTACCTCTTCTTCTTTGCATGCTTATCTTGACTCCTGAGCTGTTCTATCTCATGTAAGTCACATGTTTTGTGGTTGATGAGCTGCAATTGTCTTACATATTTCCTCTCCCCTCAAAATAGTTTGTGTTGTAAGGTACAGCTATAAAAAGATTTTACAGTCACGCTGTAAATCAAAAATGACTTGAAACACACCTGCATCTAAGGCTATATTTGACATCGCTCTGAACTAAAAGTTAATATAGGTGTTTTTTTTGAGAATATTATGACTAGTTGTGCTTTACAAATGAGTAAGTTTATTTATTTTTAAGGATTTCAAGTAAAAAAAAAAAGCAAACAAAGCAAAAACAAGCATTATTTTACAGTTACATTTAATGGACATTGATTGGCTACAGTGCTACAGTTCATCCTTGTTAGAAAGCAGTTGGCTAATATTTTTGTCCTTTTGTCTGGCTTGCAGAGTATACATTAAGCTCTGTCCTTAGGGAATAACAAGGGTTTATCTAAAATCCTGTGTTGTTTTTTTTTTTTACTCTCATTTTTTCTACAATATGACAGCACCGAGTTGTGTCACTACTGATAACATTAAATAGTGTGATTGTTATCACACACACACACACAAAAAAAGTCATATATACAGCCCCTAACTCAGTGACAAAAATAGGAAGATAGGATTTATGAGAGATGAATTCAATAAACAGGATAGAATAACAGAAAATAAGAGACCCCAGCATTGCCAAGTGTTGTGCAGAAATTTGGATTTTGCTACTAGAAGTGGTGAAACATTGACACAAGGACGAGGATGGGATGAAGAATGAATCTCGGCTTTAAAAAAAACAACCATTTTTTTTTTTAACTTGTCTGTTGTAATTAATCAAGGCTTGCAGGGAAGTGTAACAAAAATGTCAAAATTGTTGGGCTAAGCTGTATGCAGACAGCAATGTCCAAGCTGTGATTTTGCAGAGGAGACCCCCTTCGGAAGTTTCCTTCTTTTTAGTCAGGTGACTTTCCTGATTGTTACTTTGTAACTTCTGAATAGCAAGATAGAAGGTTGTGATTACAAATACAACGTTGTGATTACAAGGATTCCATAAACGCATCATCATCAGCCTTCTCTGGAATTGTCAGGGAGTGCTTGCTTGCTACAATTAAACTTTTTAAGATGCTAGATCCACCATCGAGTTATCTGATTGTTTCCCTTCAGGCTGGCTTGATTACCTATATATATCTATCTATCTATCTATCTATCTATCTATCTATCTGGGAAAAAGCCTCATCTGTGTACAAAGCAAAGCTTGCAGCTTATTAAGAAATAAAGCAATTATGACACAGGGGCAGTTAGTGGGAGAATTGTGCATTGACCCTTAAGGTGGGCAGACAATAGCCCTGCATAGAGAAGACGTGCTGGGGAATATACCCCTTAAAACTGTTTTCTTTGACATGTGTGCTATTGAAAAGCTTTAAGGTGCATTCTCCCCTGGTGGAGAAAAAAAGGGGGCTTTGTCCCCCTTCTTGTATGCATGGTAGCTTCCCAAGGTAGTCAGTATTTTGTGGCTGTCACACAGGGGGGAAAAAAAAGGGGGGATGCAGGTTCACTGTGTGACAATTGATTGTCTTTTTCCCTGATGGCGTTCATTTACATGTTTATAACGACAATAGTGCTCCGCGACACTGTACTATTCAGGGCGACATTCCCACAAGGGGACAATTGTGTGAACAGCCTGGCCAGGGGACACCTTCCTCCATGGCTCGGGATGGCTTTTAAGAAGAAGGAAGAAAAGGGTTCTCTTTACACAGCAGAGATGGAGAGCATAGTAGAAGAATAGCTGGGCTAATTAATTAATTGGTAGCTAAAGGTATATATTTTTTTATGCTTGTCTGTTGAGGGTTTGGGCATCTGGATTAACTGCGAGTACGTGTAAGAGAAATTACAAGACAAAGATAAATAGATAGATAGATAGATGATAGATAGATAGATAGATAGATAGATAGATAGATAGATAGATAGATAGATACTACTTATACATATACCTGCATGGCTTGTGGAAAATCTCTTTCTTTCTTTCTTTCTTTCTTTCTTTCTTTCTTTCTTTCTTTCTTTCTTTCTTTCTATCTATCTATCTATCTATCTATCTATCTATCTATCTATATATCTATATGAAATCGGTAGATGTGGGTACTTACTAACTGCATTTAAAATTGTTTAAAAACATAGAAGCCAGTGAGGTTTAAAATTTAGTATATATATGGAAT